AAACATCTTAAATTAAGATGTTTTATCTTATATGTTTTAAGTATAACTTTGTAGTCACTTTTATGATACTTAATTTTTGCAGTGCAGCGACCTTAAAAAACTCCGAATAACGAGTTTTAATTGTTTCGTCATTTTTCATAACAAATAAAAGACATTTATTTATATAAAAAAAATGTGTGAAAATAAAGTAAAGAATGAAATAAAAAAATACATTGAAAACTAGAATTCGGCTTGAAAATTTCGAATGGAAGTTGCAGTAGACGATTTTCCTGTTGGTTCATATATACATATATATATATTACGAGAATGTACATTTGAAAAGGAAAGGAAGAAGAGAGTGTAGATGAAATGGGAGTTATAGGAAACGAGTTGAGTCTGTAGCGTTCCATCAGAATGGATGCAGCATCCGCGAGAGATTTCGCGCGTCGTAATTAATCATCGGAAAATTAACGCTCCGGTAGCTCGAGAAAAACGATGGAAAACATCGTGCCGCCATTAACGTTTCTGTCAGCTCGTGAAACAGCATTTTACGATGAAATTTTCACGTTCTATTTTTCATCCTTCTCTTTTCCTCTTCCTTACATTTTTTCCCCATCATTTTTCTTTCTTTTTTTTATTTATATCCATTTACCAATTAATTTTCTGTCTATCGTTACCCTGTCATTTTATTACATCATTCATTGTATGTACAACATTATTAGTACTGTGATATATTAAATTGTAAAATGGATTTTTTCAAAATGGTATATCTTCCCCGTAAATGTCATATGAGTAAATAAATAATTTACTATCAAAATTCTTTCAATATTAGTGACTGACTTTCTGCTTTGGAATTAGTGAATTTTACTAATAAATAGTAATTTCTAGTAATATCCCAATGGATAAGCACTGGACCAGTGCTGGCTGAGAATATTGCCGCAATAAATGCCGTATTGTTATTAATTAGTCGTAAATTAATAATTATAAATAATTTAACAACAAAATGGTAAATAATATTAATAAATAGTTATTATTCATAAAATATTTCTCTTCTTAAATAAATTGTATTAAAGATGGAGACTAACAATGGATATAGTAAATGAAGTGGAAAAAAATTGTTTATAACATTTAAAAATTAAATAATAAACAATTACAGTAAGTGTGCATTAGATTTTCATATTTTAGTACCTAACGATTGGAATCTAGAAATATCGCAAACCTATGAAAATAAACAAAATTGCTGACTAGGGGAATCGAACCTACGACCTACGGACTAACAGACTAACGCTCTAACCACTATGCTAACGACACATGTGTACAGTAAAGTATTAATATCTCAGTATCATTCAGACATACAATTATTGAGTCAAAGATGAGAAAAAAATAGGGATACGTTAGAAATAATAAATTCAAATAAAATAAATTAATAATAATTAAATTAAATTACTTTACTTATTGCATTTAACATTTTACGTAATTCTTAAATTACGTGGTAATTTTTTAATAATTTTTTATTCATAGTAAGAAGTATAATAGTATTTTAATAGGAACCAAATTATTATTGAGATTAAAGTTTAAATTTTGTTTATAATTTTAATTTGTTTAAATAATTTATTATTTACAAAATTAGACAATTGTGTTAAATTGTTATTATTAAATTTAATAAGAATAAAAAATGAACAACTGAAAAGTAAAATATTAATTTTTTTCAATAAATTTATATTTATAAACATTCATAAACTTTTTTTATAATTTTTATCAAGTTTATGTCAAAAAAGCAATGTTGGCAAAGAGCGTCGTGAACAATTTTTCTATACTCAGCCAGCACTTGCCGCCGTGGCTTGTCCAAGCTTTGGCTTGTCATTTCTACCAATTTATTAGTAAAATTTACTAATTCAAAAGCAAACAGTCAGTCAGTAATTAAAATTAGTCAAAATTTTTACTAATTCAAATTTAGAGAGAAATTATTTGAAAAGTATCTTACATTGTCAATTGTTTATCATATTTTCATAAAAAAAACTATTTTTAACTTCAGAACTGCGTCTTATTCTCGCTTTGAATTATTTTTTATTATTTAATTAAATACTCGTCGTACAATTTATCGAATGGCATATGAAACTATATTTGAATTTATTTCAATGAAATAAAATGCGGGAAATTAATTTAGTGAAAAATGAGAATACAATTTAGTAGAAATTGAATGTAGGTCAAAGACAAGGAAAAGTCAGATCGACAGCGTTCGAAATACCAGCAGCCAATCTTTGCTAAATGAATTATCGAGTTATCAGCTCTGATAATATAACTGCAAAATTCGTGAATGCCATCATAGGAAAACGATGAACGAGGCAATATTAAAATTTTATATTTGCTTCTAATTCTCCACGAGATTATTTATTTTCGAGTTCGAAAAATTATTTATTAAAATTATTGTATCAAAAGCGAAAACGTTGTGAACGTTCAAATCGAACAAAATTTATTTACTTCTTTTTCAAATTAAAATTTTATTTTCAAAAGTTATAAAAATTCTTCACAAAATTTAAATTATGTTAAAAAATTTTTTTAAAATTCAGGTGAAAATTTCAATTATCTTTATAAATAATAAAATTCTTCTCCGAAATTCAATTATTTTAGAAAAATTTTAATAAAATTCTTGGCAAAATTTCACAGGAGTTCAATTATTTACAAAATTTTTATAGAAATTCAATTATTTAAAAATATTTTTATAAAATTCATCTCAAGAATTCAATTATTTAAAAAAAAATTTAACAAAGTTCTTTTCAAGAATACAATTGTTTTTATAATTAATAAAATTCTTCATCAAAATTCAATTATTTTTTAAAGTTTTAATAATAATCGTTGAAAGAATTCAATTATTTTCAAAAATTAAAAAAAAATTCTTATCAAAATTTCTAGTATTTTTATAAATAATAAAATAATTATTTTCCGAAATTCAATTATTTTAGAAAAATTTTAATAAAATTATTGACAAATTTTCACAGGAATTCAATAATTATTAAAAATACAAAGTTTCATACCATTTTTCGAAAAATATCAAATATTTAAAAAGATTTTTATAAATTTCGTCGCGAGAATTCAATTATTTAAAAAAAATTTAACAAATTTCTTTTCAAGAATTCAATTATTTTTATAAATAACTTAAATAATTAAAAATTATTTATTAAATTGAAATTAAAAAATAATGCAATTTATTTAAAATTGAATTTGAAATTTATTTAAAATTCAATTATTTTGAGAATTCAATTTTAACAAACATTCAATAATTATTCAATACATTTTTTATTTTCTGATTTAAATAATTGAAGTCTTCTAGAAGTTTATAATAAAAATTGATTTAAAAATGAATTAGCGAATAATCGATTTATTATTTATGAAAATAATTGAATTATTGCAACGAATTTTATTACAATTTTTTCTAATTAATGATTTTTTTTGAGAAAATTTACTACTTTTTAAAAATAATTGAATTCTTGCGAAGGATTTTATTAGGATTTTTGTAAATAATTTAATTTTTTTTGAAAAATTTTATAATAATTTAAATTATTATTATTATTTTATTATTAATAGTTGAATTTCATGTTTTCATGTTTTGTAATAAATTGTTGAATTTCAAAAAGGTTTGAATTTGATTGTTTTGAAGAATTTTAATTCCTACGGAAAAATAATAATGATTAAATATTTATTTAAAAAAGAAATTATTGATGTTTTTGAATAATTTTACAATTAAAGGAATTTGTAAATAAATGTAATAGAACATTTTTTTGAGTATATCTAATAATTTTTAGAGTGAATTAGAATATTCTTTAGGGTCAGGGAAAAAGTAAAAAATTTTGTCTGGAAATCAGGGAAAAGTCAGGGAAAATAAAATAAAATATTTGTGGCAACCCTGGCTTCAAATATATATTGTTTTCTCAGTATTTCAAAGATTTTGAAATAGTTAAAAATTCTTAAATAGTAAATAATAATAGTTTTCATAAAGCAGCAGTAATTGGTACACCTATACCCCATTTTTTGCCAGAATTCAAATTTTCATTTCTAAAGAAGATTTAGTATTTAAAAATAAATATTTGTATACTAATTAATAAAAGTATCAAATATTTAAGAATATTAATGTGTAATTGTTTGTGTAACGTAATAAACGACTGTATTTGAGTTTTGACGTAAGACTGTACACTAATTTACGTTTGAAATTGAGCTCTCTCAGTCGAGTGTGACGTAAGATCGTGTGGAGATTTTTGAACACCTCCCCCCATGACCCTTACGTAATTAATGAATGGCCCGTTCTTAAAAGATTTAAGATTTAACCTGAAATTATGTTGACGAATCGATTTATAAAACTGATATCACGTATAGGTATATATATATATAGAAATTTAATATTAGCCATATTTGAACGGCGTATAAATGGATGTCATCGTATTTTTTTCATAATGCGCCGTAAGAACGAGAGAGGGAAAATACCTGTACATAATAAATAGCTGAACGAAATTAGAAATAGACTATTATTGAAAAGTTATGTTCAACTTTGACATTTCTTGCTTCATTGCAATTGGAGATTATCGAAAACTAATGTTAAATATTTTTTTTTTATCGAATTTTCTCATTTCTCCCCATTTCAATATTTAATTCTTATATCAAGCTTTCATTCTACTTTTTGTTGAATTAAATCAACTGATAAAATCATGAAAAGTATTTTTTTTTTCTTTTTTTTTTTTATTCTTTTTTTGACAACAAATTATTATCAGAAGGTAATAATTACATGATGAGATATTAATTGTAATTAAATAATTTCATAGTACTTAATTTATTGTTACTCAATTATTAAATAATTATAATGGGAATGACATCTGCATTCTGCAAAATGTTCATTCATAATTGAATTACAAAAATTTAATTATAAATTGACAATATAAGTGATAAATGCGCATAATAATGCTGTTAATTTTAATTTAATGATTAATTCTACCGTATTTTTAAAAAATATTTTTCTTTTTGTTTTACAGGTAAGTGGTCAGCTCAAGATAAGCAGTATGGAAGAAAAAATTATTCAGGTGTCCCTCGTGAATTTATCAATAATTGTAAGTTCATTATTTTCTTTTTTTACTAAATATTCTTCTACTCTTTATTTTCTACTCTCTTTTAATTATTTTCTACTCTATATTCTTTCTTAATGTTTCAATCTTTTATTTATAAGAAAAAGTAATTCGTAGGTACATACTAATTAAAAAGCAGAAAATTACTTACATTCGTAAAAAATTAAGTTTTAAATAATAAGAGTAAACCTACAAGGTAGATGGTCACTTTTATTAAAAAATATTTTCTAATCCTTTTTGTCTAAAAAAAGCGATTTCTAATTAAATCTGTTTTCTGAAAAAAGTTTTTCTAACAAGTTTTGATTTGTAAAAAAGTTTTTCTAAAAAGTTACGATTTCTAATATTTATTTTCCTAAAATTTGTGAAATTTCATAATTTTGATAAAAGTTAGAAAATTGTTATAAAAATTAAGATTAGGAAATAGAAACTATTTTGCATATTTTCTGCTTCTCAATCACAATTCTGTTCACATAATTATGAGTATTTCTTTTTGAAAAAGAAAAAAAAATTTATAAAATTCCTATTTCTTATCACAATTTTTAAACCAAATTCTGTTCTTTGAAGAAAAAGAAACAATAATTTGCATCATTTTTATACCAAAATTAATATATTTATAAAACATTTTTTTTAGAAAATTTTAAATAACTTTAGGAAAAAATCCCTATAATTTCTATTTGTTAATTACAATTTTTAACTAGATTATTTAAAAATTTTGTTAAAAAATTTGCATAATTTTCTATTTTTTTACAATTTTTTAACAAAATCTCAAATATTTTTTATTTTAAAGAAAGAAAATTTTAAATATCTTTAGGGATAAAATCCCTATAATTTCAATTTGTTAATTACAATTTTTAACTACTTATTATTTAAAAATTTTGTTAAAAAATTTGCATAATATCTATTTTTTTACAATTTTTTAACAAAATCTTAAATATTTTTTTTTTAAAGAAAGAAAATTTTAAATATCTTTGGGGAAAAAATCCCTATAATTTCTATTTGTTAATTGCAATTTTTAACTAGATTGTTTAAAAATTTTGTTAAAAAATTTGCATAATTTCTATTTTTTTACAATTTTTTAACAAAATCTCAAATACTTTTTTTTAAAGAAAGAAAATTTTCAATATCTTTAGGGAAAAAATCTCTATAATTTCTATTTGATAATTACAATTTTTAACTAGATTGTTTAAAAATTTTGTTAAAAAATTTGCATAATTTCTATTTTTTTACAATTTTTAACTAGATTGATTAAAAATTTTGTTAAAAAATTTGCATAACCTCTATTTTTTTAGAATTTTTTAACAAAAACTCGAATATATTTTTTTTAAAGAATTAAAACATTTTTATAAATTTTATTTTTTAATCATATACCTATTTGATCGTCATTACAAAAATGAAATATTGTTAGAAAAAAATAAATTTGAAAATTACCTTTATTAGAAAAAGAAATTTTTAGAAAACAATTATTATTACACTGAAAAAAAATTTATTTTATTCAACTAACCGATTAATTGACTTTTCTCAATTAAATGTTCACTTGAATCAAGTAATATTTATTGTAGTCAATTAAATAGTATTTGAACCAAAAATTACAGTATTTTAAGCAAATACCATTTAATTGACTCCAATAAATATTATTTCATTCAATTAAATATTTAATTATTGATAATACTCTCTAAATTTGAATTAGTAAAATTTTTTACTAATTTGAATCAGTGTCTGACTTTTTGCTTTTGAATTAGTAAAATTTTTTACTAATTTGAATCAGTGTCTGACTGTTTGCTTTTGAATTAGTAAATTTGACTAGTAAGTAGTATTTTCTACTAATTTATAAGTAAACTTTACTAATTCAAAAGCAAAAAGTCAGTCACTAATTCAAATTAATAAACATTTTGACTAATTCAAATTTTTAGAGTAGTCAATTAATCGGTTATTTGAATCAAATTTTTTTTCAGAAGAAAATTGATCACCTTCATTAGAAAAAAGTTTTTTTAGAAATTCATTTTTATTAGAATAAAAAAAAGTTTTGGAAAATAAAAAATTAGAAAATACGTTTTATAAAAACTGTACCCTAACAAAGTATAATTAAAGAAATTTGGTTAAGAAAATAATATTTAAATTAATGAGACACACTTTGATTCCGATACTATAAACTCCGTATACATACCTACAATAATCAGTCCCAGAAACAGGCTTCTGTTTTCGCAAGAACTTGTCGTCCTTAAGAACCTTCTTTTTTTTATAACGCCATTCCGCAAAGAGAAGGTCCATTTGATGTTCCTGATCTCGATATAAGTATATGAGAATAAGAAACGAAATTAACAACAGAGTCTCATCGCGAGAGGTACTTTCAAAGTTACATGAGGATTTATTATTTTTTCTTCATACCCATTTTTGACATTAATGATGATTAATAAATTTAAAAATAATCTTTATGAAACTTATATCATGTACGAGACGCGTCTTGAGAAGTGACAACTGAAATTTAACAAAATACTACATTGTAAATTTAATGGATATATATATATATATAAATGGTCACTTCGAAAAAAGATTCATAACCCTTTTTACGACCGAGAGTAGTTCTCATATATACAGGGTTTGCACTTTTCTTTTCTTTTCTTTATTCTTATTTCTTTGGGTTCACTTTCTCCTTGTACAGTGCGACTTTTATTTTTTGGTAAAATATATGAAAGTCCTCATAATTTAGGGCTGTCGAAGTACTTTGAACGATGACCGTGTAAAAGAATAGCTTTCTGTTTAAAAAAAAAATATAAAAAATAAAAAAAAAATTTATGTACATATGTGAAAAATATCCGTTGTAGCAATGAATAGTGTCCAAGTCGTTGTAACACTTTTTAAACTTTATGGTTTTTACGTCGCGCTTGTCTTTCAAATTCCGTAAACAATGAATCTTTTTTTTTTTTGGAAACGTTACGTCTCATTATTTTACGTATTTTGTAAAAGTTAATTTTTTTTGCAACTGCGGGTAAAAAAATGTTTTCTTTGTCTTTCTTAATTACACTATGGCTTGCTGAAACATCTCATTATACGATGAAATTTTTAGTTATTCATCTTTCCTTATCTAATTCTCTATTATTATTTTCTTTAAAAGCCGTTCAATTTTGTTACTAGAGGCGGAATTTTTATTAATTAAAAAATAAGTGTTCAATGCAAAGAATAATTCTTATTTATAATTAAATATTTAGATATTTTTCAGTAAATTTTTTAACTTAAATCATTTTTATTTCAGGGTAGTCACAAGTTTCAGTTTATCAGTTTATCAATTTTCCTGACGTTTCCCTGACAATTGGCTGACATTAAAATTATTTTCCCTGACAAAATTCTTTTTACAGAAAAAAATGAAAGTTTACGAAAAATGAGTAAAATTTATGAAATTCAATATTTTCTCAAAATTACAATTATAACACTTCCTGAATATAATTATTTTCTACAATTTTTAACTAAACTTCTTTTAAAAAACAATTATTTTAAATAATTTTTAGAAAGTTCTTCTAGAATTCAATTATTTAAATCAAAAAACTCAATTTTTTGATAACAATTGTAACTGTCTATGTTTTTTTCCTAAGTTATTGAGATTAATTTTCAAAACAATAAAGAAATTTTTGCAATTAATTTTTAAAAAAAAATTTTAAATAATTTTTAAAATATAATAGTTTTTTGAATTGAAAAATTTCCAAATAATTGAAATTTGGTAAAATCTTTTAAAATAATTGAATTTTTGAAAAATATAAATAAAAATAGTCAAATTTTTGAAGAATTTTAATTATAAATATGACCAAGATTTCTCTGAAAATTTAATAAGTCTAAAAATGCAAATTTTCATAAATTTTTATTTACTTTGTTCAAAGATAATAATTGAATCTTGAAAAAATATGATAAAACAATTCTAAGAATTAGTTTTTAGAAAGATTTTAATTTAATTTTTCGAAAGTAATTGAATTTCTTAAAAGGATTTTTGTATATTTTAAAAAAACTAATTAATTTTTTGATGAATTTTAATTAAATAATCAATATTTTTTTCCCAATAATGTTAAAAATAATTTCAAAAATATTATTTTTTGCATGTATTTTGAATTTTCGGAAATATGTAAATGAAAATGCAGAAAATATTGATTTTTAAAAAATTAGAAGTTAATTTTCATTATTTTCATTTTTAAGGTTACATTTATATTTAAAGATTTTTCCATTAAGATTTTTAAAAATTCAATTATTTTGAAAATTATTATTTATTAAGTATAGTAATAATAATTTATAAAATTATTATTTTGAAAGATAATAGTTTTCTAAATTGAAAAATATCCAAACAATTGAAATTTGGTAAAATTTTTTTTTAATAAATTGAATTTTTGAAAAATATAAATAAAAATAATCAAATTTTTGAAGAATATTTTAATTATAAATATGCCAATGATTTCTCCGAAATTTTAATAAGTCTAAATAATAAATTTTTCTTCACTTTGTTCGAATTCGAAGATAATTAAATCTTAAAAAATTATGATAAAACAATCTAAAAAATATTTTTTAAAAATATTTTAATGAAATTTTTCGAAAATAATTGAATTATTTAAAAGAAGTTTGTATATTTTTAAAAAACTAATTAATTTTTTCATGAATTTTAATTAAAAATGTTGATCATGGTTTTTTTCTTCATAATGTTAAAAATAATTCTAAAATATTATTTTTTGCATGTATTTTGAATTTTCGAAAATATGTAATTGAAAATACAGAAAATATTGATTTTTAAAAAATAAGAAACTAATTTTCACTAATTTTCATTTTTAAGGTTTACATTTAAAGATTTTTCCATTAAGATCTTTAATCATTCAATTATTTTCCCTAATTTGCAATTAAAATTCTTCAAAAGTTGATTTTCAAAAATTGTAACAAAATACTTGAAAAAAATTAATTATTTTCAATTAAATTTTACAAAATTTCAATTATTCAAAAAGATTTTTATTGTAGAT